AGCAATATGCCATTATTATTACTGTTGTAACACTGGATGGTATATTCAGATATAATATAAAAACAAATGCATAATTATTTGTTTTTTTTTCTTTTTGTTTCCAAGGTCTGCTGTATGCATCTATCACACTATTATCTACTGTGGCTCTTTTGGTAATAACAATCCATCTCAATAAATGGACCTTAGACAAACGTATCAGTATTTTCTTCATGGTCATCTATATCGCTTACACCCTGCTGGCATCACTTTATGAACTTAATGTCTTCGGTTATTTCCATCCTTCAGACTGCCCAAGTGATTTTTAGAATTTTTGACATGTATGGTGCACTGCCCTTGCATTGATGCCAATCTCACAAATGTTATTTTTGTTATTTTATGCCAGTGTGTGAGGGTATATGTATATTTGTATGCATGAAGTTGTGGATGAAATTTGTTTTCGGCCAATAGGGCCATTCAGAAACATCCTGAGTGTACAAGTGATATTTAAGATAAGATTTTGCTCAGACAAATTAGAACATTTTGCTCAAATTATTCTGTTGCAAAGTAATGACTGTAATATTACTTAGCACAGTAAAACTTTTATGAATTAATTAAACATTATTTTACTAGAAATATAAATGAATTCGATATATTTTAAATGGTTGGATTTTTAAAAATTGCATTTTCTCTTGGTAATATTACTACTTGCTTGATCAAGGGTGCAGATTTTCTTATCATCATTTAATTGTGTCCCCATATGTCTAGTCTTTATATTAGTGAAGGGTTTTTAGTTATTAATTTTTTGGGCAAGTTTTTCTAAAAATATAACTAATTACAGATTCTGGCATCTGCTATGAAATATTTTATCAGTTACTACTAAAAAGAACTTTGGCAACTGTCCATTGTGGTAACGATCATTCTAAATATTCATGTTAAAAATTCACTTTTTGAGCTCTACCAAATATTATTTGATTTCAACCATTATTGTTTTAATTTCTTAATGTTTTTATTTTCCAAAACATTGTGGGCTTCCTAAATCAGCATGACAGAAATTGTAAAATATAATTTATCTGATGATCTATGCAGAGAGTGCAATACCATTTCATTGTTAAATAAAAAAATTTCTCACTCTCTGAGAAATGCTTATATTTTCTTAACCCTCTTGAGACGGGCCTTTGTTGGACTGTTTGTTCAAAGAAGATGGAGCCATTTTCAAAAGCCTGCACTTACTTTGTTAAAAAAATTGATAAAAAATAAACTATTTAATGTACAAACATAGAACTACATATATTCTTATAGAAAATTTAATGAAAGTATATGATCTTTATGAATCAAACTGAAATCTCAACATTAATGCTAATGAAATATCTTGATTTGCATAATTTATGCATACAATTTTTTTTTACACTCAGAATAAACATGTCTTACTTAAAGAATTTTGTTTCATTTTCTGATTATTGAAACCTAAATAAGTCCTAACAACAACTGGAATGAGATTTAATATGAAAAATTGCATAAATATTCCAGTGGTGGTGCTCTTGGTATATTTCAAAGTCATCCATTTTTTAAGCATTTATTGGGGTTACAAGGTAAAAAGAAATTGCTATAAAAGGACAGAACACCATAAGCTATCAATGAAAGCCAGCATTGAAATGGGGAGGTGAGCTAGAAATGGGAGAAGCAATCTGATTAGCTTAAACAAAGACCTGGACTGATAGATTGGCCCAGCCGTCTCAAGAGGGTGAAATTTAATAATCGAACCAAAGCATGTATTAAAAAATAATAACTAGTTCTCATTGACTGTTACTTAATTTAATAAAATAGCTATTCATTTGTTCAAATACCCAACCACAGAAAAGTGAGAATTATTTTGATTTAAACTATTTAAATTTAATAGTTGTCCTTGAAAATAATAAAGGCAGCAAATTTTCCATTAACTAGGATGGAGCCATTTTTGAATAATTTTCAAGTTTACAATAATATATTTTGCATCATTTGGTTCAAATAATCAATGATAAAATGTCTAAGCCCTTGATGATGTAGTGATTTTTTCTTTTGCCATTTATCAATTTGTCTACTTCAACCTTCTGCTAGTGTTTAAGAAGTCTATTTAATTGATTCACTTTATTGCAAATACGAACCATGTACACTTATGGGTTAACTTTGGCTATAAATTTCAGTATTACTTTAATGTCATTGTGCATGTGTGTAAGACTTTTAAAGTATAGGGTGCGAAATTGTTAAATTTTTTTTTAAATGGTACTTTTCTTTGAAACTTGTTACTCCTTGATCATATAATGGTGTTGTGAATTTTGGGATATTATGATAATTTGTAAGAAAACTACAATTAAAAATGGTGATTAAATAACTTATAATGTGCTCAAATATTATTATGAATTTAAAAAGTTATGGTAGTTTTTTAAAAAAGGGCCTGTGTATCTTAATCAAAAGATTAATTAAAAATAAGACCTGTATTTCAATATTGTCAGTTTATTTTAATAATACAGCTTCAGAAAGGTTGGGTCAGGGAATTATGAAAAGCTTTTTGTTAAAATATATATCCATTGTATCAGTGAAACAAAATTATTTATTATCAAGCATCCTCTGAAAAGGGGGATAAAATGCAATAGTGAGGTAACCTTGACAAAACCATTCAGGTATTCAATTACTATTGGTAAAAAAAAATACTATTTTAAAAAACTGCCACATTATATCCAATTCATTGAGATTATTTTAGCATTATATTATAACTTTATTATTATTATACAAAGTAAATGGTGTTATTCCTCATCCTTGATTGATCACAAGACAACCCAAATATTTATCATATTTACACTTAATGTAGCTTTACATTTTTCATAAAATTGAATGCCTCTCTTTATGAAATAATATATTATCTTTACATTATAATTGTAATATTATTAATTTTATTTTTTATCATTTATTTTCCCGTTTTCATGACTATGTCATCATTGGCTTCACCTGTGATAAAGTTGAATGGTAAAACAATCTTCATTCTTGTGGCTTCAAAAATTCCAATACACTTTAAGTTTTGTTTATTCCAACAAGAGGCTCATAAATTTATCATTCTTATGTCATCATTTTCAAGTAAATGGGCTAACTAAACTCCTTAATGGTAATTTTTTTTTTTTAAACCTGTTCCAGTAGAGGACAAGGACAGATTTAGTCAATGATATGTACCCTTACAGAACCACTGCTGTAATCTGTGCCTTTGAAAATCTTGTTCAAATCAGTTTTACAAACTTAATTATCTGAATCTGTCACAGAAAGATGTATTACCTATATATTATTCTGGCTGATAAAGTTTGAACATTATTAAAATCTTAGAAGTTTATTCTTGAAATCTAAACTTTATTAAAACCTTAGTTTAATTGATTGATTAATCGATTTTTCATCTAAGGACAAGAGTTTAAAAGTGTTTAACTGCATAATTTTCACCTTGATTATGTAAGCCTTTTTTAAAAAATAGTTATTTGAAAGCCAGAAAAAAAATATTATTTCGATATTTCTAGAACTAGAATTCAATAACTTGACAATTTGTTTATATTTTGCACAGAGTTTATTTATTAATCTTCATATTCTATTAAATATATCCATTACGTGATAAACAAAGATTCATATACATTTTTGTCCCTGGGAACATACTGCTATAATTTATAGATTAGATTATGTTCACACATTTGCATAATATTAGTAATGATAACATCATATTTTGTTTCGTTTATAACTTATAAACATGTGTACATTGTTATTTTGTTTTGAAATCCAAATTGATATAAAACTAAATCAGGATCAATAACCCTTCAGAAATGTGTGCAAAAAAAAAATTAATTTAAAAAAAAATTTATTCATTAAATATAGGTTAGTACAATCCAGTTGTTATGTAGTTGCAGCTTGTGTTTCATTTTTTTTTTAAATATAAGGATTACTGCAACTAATTTATTTGTCTTGTACATCTATAAAATACAAACAACAAAAAGCAACTCATTCAATAACAAAAAGTATCAGTTTTCTTCCACTTCAATATAATTGTAGTCCCATATTATTCATCATGGCAGACAACAAAGACAGCTCTATTTTGACCTCTTTGTATGATTCATTTGATTTCTTCAGTAGCACTGTACTGCATATCATAAATGACCAATGGAATCCTTAGTATTTTTGCTTTGATGTCAGAAATTCTTGTGTTCTTCTCAACATCAAATATTATTTCTATTCAAATTTATTTATGTGGGGGAAGTATGAGCCTGAAAATCTGCATATTTAAATAAACTATTATTTCTGTTTAATCTCCTTGAAATGAGTTATTTCCCATTACTAAAAGTGATTTTTTTTTTTTTTTACCAGAGACTTTAATATAATTTAAGTGGACCTAGAACATTGCTTGATGGACTCCACGGAATCATTAACCATCACCTTTCCAAGACCCTAGACAATTACTGCTCTACAGATCTACATGTAGTCTGTAGATATTTCAATTGATAACCATGTCAACTTGTGAAGTAGTCATGAAAAAATATGACAATTTAACATAAATTTTTGTTAAATATTCAGTATAATTTAAATTAAATATGACTAAAGCGGGACATATGAGTGAATAACCACTACTCACTAGCAATTCACAAATGCGAGTTATCCGATCAAACTTCTATTCACCCATTTTTATTTATCCAGCAAGAAAACCTAAGATGAAACCAATTTGTTTTTTAGATGGACTAACAGATCGTAACCAGGAAATTAGAATGGCATGGGATAGACGATGGTTAAAAAATATTCTTCTAAGCTCAGTCGAGGTCAATTTTGTATATCCATGGCTTTGGAGAAGAGTTCATGCCTCTCAAACATTTAGAATCCTCCTTACATTGCCTGTCATGTCGTCCTTTCATTGCCTGTTATGTCGTCCTTTCATAGCCTGTTATGTCGTCTTTCCAAACATTTCTAATTTAAAAAAGTCGTTCTATTGGCAGGTTTGACAAGTTTCTCAAACTCTGAGATGAATAGCCTATTATGTTATCTTTACTCTTAAAATATTATTAAAAATTATCGTTCATTTTTTTAAATTCTAAGCACATTCCTTTGATATCATTTGTTGTAACAAATACATTTCCTTAAGCTTTTCGTAAATTATTCGACAACCTTTAAAACAAAGGTTTGAGCTTTGGTTCATCCACTGAAACCACCACCTCATCTTTCACCGGTTCGTCACTTCCGGGCAGTGTGTCGTCAAAGGTTGCTTCTGATATAAGCATCTCAAATTCTGATTCCTTGAGACTATGAAGCCAGTTGAAAACCTTCAAGTTCCGATGAGCACGGTCTAGTGCGTGGCCTTCGTTCCACAAATGTAAATCTCTTATCCTAATCTCGTGGTAACGTGGTCTCCCCATGCGCACTTTTACGTCAGCTTGTATAACTTTGCTAAGATGCGGTGAAATTTTCATGCGATGTGGAAACATTACCCAGCGGTTGTAATTGGCCTTTACAAGATGAGGATTGTCTGTAAGCGTGCCAGATAATGGCCGAGGGGAAATATGTCCGGTCATTTTCTTCAGAGCATTCGTTGTGCTCTTTATTTCAGACTTGACTTTCGCAGAGAACTCACGCCCAACGTCCGAGTCCGTAGGTTTTGAAGAATCTTCCATCCAGATGGAGACATGCTTAGATTTGATGTCCTTATGCCTCTCCATATCTTCGGGAAAGAGCGCGTCTCTTGGAGCTGAACTCTGTTCAGACACAATAGGTTTGTGTGTTGCACGAGCTGCCAAACGCCGTAACCCGTAACGCTTTTTTTCAACATGCCGACGCCATATTTCTTTCCAGTCCATTGAGGAACCATCGTGATGACCGCCGGCAGATTTGATACGCTGCGGTTTCCTCACTGATACCCCATCGAGAACGCAGGGTTCACTGTTACATCTCTGCCTCCCTGAAGCGGGTAAAATGACTTTCCGCCTGCCTGCATCTACCACTAAGAGTTTCTCATCATCTGGCAAACACCTAAATATGTCAGTTTCCGCCTCCAGCTGAGCGTGCATTTCGTGTATTTTTAACAGTTTGTCGAAAGCACCACGCCGTCTGCTGGCCAACTCCACCCAAACACTCGTTTGCTTTAGTTCACCTGAGTCCGGTTTTACTTTTTTCCTCTGGCGGCGCCGGGGTCTGGGGCTTGGGGCAGATTTACCGTAGCTTGAGCAGCTGAAGAGCGATAATTGGGTGACCAAAGAGTCTGTGCTGTCCACGCGCCTAAGTTTTGTGTGAACGTCCAGCCGAGCGCTGTACACCGGTTGCCGGGGTGGATCTAGTCGCGGTGGAAGTGCTCTAACTGTGTAGTCTGGCATCCACGTCTTGAGGGAGTCAAGAAAGTGGCCGCGTGAAGACTCCGGTACACCTCGCCATGAATGCTTAAAATCCATAGTGTTTGACTAAAGAAAACCGAATTCCATAGATAGAAATATTGCAATCGAGTCAATGATTTCCAGGAGACATGATTTATTCAATATTCTCAAACATCGAGTACTCTCCGGTGTAGGGAGAAAACATAACTTTAGTCTCTAATCAAAATGTTGCAGTATTTTTATAACCTTTTTACACCCAAATTTTATTTCTAATAGTCCAATCTTCAACGCAGCATTTGATTGCGTTTGCGAAGTGCCTTTCATTATTTGGCGTCCGAAACTGAAATGAAAATATTTTAAAAAGTAGATATAAGTTATCTTTTGTTAAAGTTGTTATGACGAAAACGAAATATTAAAAACAAAGATATGAATGTTTTTGGCGTATTTGTTTGTTAGTCTACCATAAGTTAACCTTTGGGAGCCCAGAAAAGAATATTATTAAAAACATCGGTTACCTGGGGACGAAAATCCTCAGCCACCTTTCTTCTTTCACTAGTTGTTAAGGCGCGTTAGTATTTTTTTAGATGTGTTTTGCTTAGACATGTGAGATGTGTTTTGTTTGGACATGTGAGATGTGTTTTGTTTGGACATGTTAGATGTGTTTTGTTTGGACATGTTAGATGTGTTTTGTTTAGACATGTTAGATGTGTTTTGTTTAGACATGTGAGATGTGTTTTGTTTAGACATGTGAGATGTGTTTTGTTTGGACATGTTAGATGTGTTATGTTTGGACATGTTAGATGTGTTTTGTTTGGACATGTTAGATGTGTTTTGTTTGGACATGTTAGATGTGTTTTGTTTAGACATGTGAGATGTGTTTTGTTTAGACATGTGAGATGTGTTTTGTTTGGACATGTTAGATGTGTTTTGTTTAAACCTGTTAGATGTGTTTTGTTTTATTATTTAGATGTGTTTTGTTTAGACATATTAGATGTGTTGTGATTAGACATGTTAGATGTGTTTTGTTTAAACCTGTCAGATGTGTTTTGTTTAGACATGTTAGATGTGTTTTGTTTTATTATTTAGATGTGTTTTGTTTAGACATATTAGATGTGTTGTGATTAGACATGTTAGATGTGTTTTGTTTAAACCTGTTAGATGTGTTTTGTTTAGACATGCTAGGTGTGTTTTTTGTGTGTGTATTTCTAGAGAGATAAGTGGCAAAGTGAAGGATAATCATGAAGAAACGTTTCTTTAAAACGCGTCTTGCACATTATTCCAATATTTGAATTTAAGGGTCATATATAAAGTACTACGTCAATCTATTTTCAGATAATTTACACACACCCCCACCCGCCCCTTTTTGGGTCTCAGTCTGTCACAAACTTCGGCATAAAGTACGTCTCAATTCGGACTACAACGTTGTGACAAAATTAACAACTTTTTAAAATGTGATCTAAAACACACTCAATTATTAAACTATTAAATTTATAAATAAAAGTGACATCCTCTGTCTGGATACATCCATCACACTGACATCTTCTGTCAGGATACATCCATCACACTGACATCTTCTGTCAGAATACATCCATCACAATAGAAAGTTAGACATCGCAGTCAATTTCCTTTTTTTTATCAGTATGATAATCAAGGCCGTCACATATTATCTTTTACCCTCCCCTTCCCCTTAAATTATTTGTAGCACTTTCTTAGATCCCCCCCCCCAACCCTTTACCCGCCTCCGGACAGTGAAATACTTTATGGACGACCCCCACATGGATAACAAAGATAGAACAAATTATATTGAGCAAATTATATTGCTCCCGGCAGCAAGAATACCTCATGGGTTTCACTACTAAATACCTGGCTGTTGGATGACACCAAACAGCATAGGACATCCTAACGATCTCATTGGAACAATCAAATCGGAACAGTCCAGCTGTGCAGATATCATCATCATATGTGATCGTATAAACGTGGTACAATAATAACACACAGGAATAAATCAAGAAATATATTTGCGAATTCGCAATGTTTAAATGAACCAAAAGCCTCTTGGGTAAAGCCGTCAAACCTGTCAAGCAAGTGGCGCCCTCACTGGTTAGGTCATGTGAGGAGAATGGAGGAACGCCGTATATTCCATAGAATCTGCTATTTGGAGAGTTGGCAGAGGGGGCAAGACTTATTGGACGGCAGTGGCTGCGAGTTAAGGGCGTTTGCAAAAGGAACATAGAGGAAGCCAATCGGCGAATATTGGATTCTTGTTGAGCACCGTTCCAGATGAGCGTCAAACAGGCAGAAGATGCGCGGAACAAGCCCTTGCAATGTGCGGAAGGCCAAAGTAAACCAGACGTCAAGGTTCTTCTGACAGAAGCGCAACCGAAACTTTTTTTTTTTTCAGAATCGGCCTCCTATGCCGTTTGATGAAGTGTCCTTAAGCTCGCGAAGACGGAAGCATGTCCTATGTAAAAAATATGTCACAAACAGGTTCCCACATTCCGGCAGTATTAGGCTAAGCCAGGGTTTTATGATTCTAAGTTGTTAGCCAACGTGGGAATTAGTGGGAAATCGATAATCAGGATCTGTCGTTGGGGGAGTGGGTGGGGGTGGGGGGGGGTTAAAATCTTAAACTAGGCAGCAATCTTTCAAAGTGTATGGTTTCTGTCTATGGGATCATAATACAGTTGTTTAGCTGGCAGACAAACTCAGCTACAGTGAACACTAGAACTGGAGAGGCGATTGTATTACCAATCATGGCTTTAGAAAGGTGATCCTCAAACACGAAGTTTAGTCAGCCTTATAGCCAACAGCATGATTGGCAGCCAGGGATATAACTAGGGTTCGTTAAACCCGAGGTGGGTCAAGATTGTTTGGAGGAAAAAAGGTTCCGCCATGTGCAGGGGTGGAACGTGACCTACGCCACTATTGGCGCCACCCCTGTCTTGTGGGAATTCACAAAACTTGGATGAGTAATTAATTGTACATTGGAAATAAACTAGCATTGAGCTTTTAAATAATATAAAGGGTGAACAAATATTTAGTTGTCAAAGTAAGTCATGAATGCTTAGGCTATTGAGGGTCAAATATTTAAACGTGCTTTCATTTATTTGCAGCGTGAAGTAGCATGCTACGTAACAAACACTTGATTTTGAATACTTTTGTATACGAGTTTGAGATCAATTGTTTGAACTTATGAAATGGTGCAGCAATATAACGAACATTCTTAATAGCACACTGAGGCTCAGCGCAAAACATATTATTATTTCTCACTAGGGGGTTTCAAGAGCCATGTTTTAAAAGGCCAAAAGTCCTCCTATGTACACATACAAACATAACACATGTGAAACTGATTATGTGGCATGTTCACTTCAAATTTCAAATACCCGTTTTATTATTTTAGAATCGGGATTGTTTTAATTGAGGTGACTTGATAATTCAGAGTGGTCCTAGATTGTTTTGAACCAACACAATTCAAACTACCGGTAAATAACAGGAACAAGTCTAATACTATATATTTGCATTATTACAGGCAGCCATGGTCATATAGGCCTATTGGAGATTAATGTAACTACCACCGAAACACAAAGTAACGTAATAGACTAAAGTAAAAACTGCGTTCCAGACACGTGAAAGAAATGTTCAGAACGAGATGTTTTGTTGAAGGTTGAAAAACAATTTATCAAGACAAGAGTTCAATTACTGATCGTAACTGGCCATTTGCCTTAAACAGTTCTAATACTGGCCTAATTTCCAAAATAGAGGAGAATTCTTGATGGAAAATATCTAATTCTAATAAACTGATAAAAACTTACAAACAAATTTCTCTACTGCAACTATAAATGCCTTCCAGTCTGAAGACACGTATGTATCCATTGATAGAAATTCATATCAACAAAATGACTGAAAGACTTGTCATCCCCATTGATTGATGTATAGATCTAACTAGCTCAGAGCTCTACATTTACACAATGACTCCAACGTTGTGTTGAACTCTTTGGTCGTCATCGCTGGAACAAAACAGAATGGGCCACTAGGTTGGTTTTTTTTTTTGGTTTTTTTCATAACTGGCAACCATGTGTGTGTGGAGGGTAGGGGGTTGATTGCCTGTGATTGCTGCTGTGATAATCAAATCGATTGATCTCGGGCGTGGATCGAAGACGGATTTAAAATAACGAGGCCGCAATTCTCGTTCTTTGTTTGTGTGGTTGTCTGAACCCCCCGCCCCCCCCCCCCCCGCGATCCTGTCAAAGCGTTAAACGAGTGTCACTCCGCTTTTTTCCAAGAGGGTGATTTATAGATTAGTGTTAGGTTGTTTTTGTTTATTTTGTGCTGCTACTGAACAAATTCCATAAGCCATAAGCAGACAACAGCAATGGTGGAATTTTTTATTATTTTTTGTAAGTATGTTTATTTTGTAACCGTAAAAGTAAAGCTATTTTCAGCTTTGATTATGATTAATATGATTATTAATATTATATATATATATATATATATATATATATTTATATAAACAGATGGGCGCCTTACATAACTTTGTGTGTTATACTTATACCTTAGAAAAAATTATTAGAAGCAACATGTTTAAATTTAAGCGGAAATTAAGCGTAGTTGTTTTTTTTTTTATATTGACGAGTTTGTTTGGGTTTTGTTTTTTGTTTTTTGTTTTTTTAATGAACCTAGTAGAAGTTGCCTTGAATTTTTAAAGGAAGCTCAATTTTTCTACCAGTCAATAAAAAAACATAATATCTAAAGGAGACTCGGTTAATGAATGTACGGGGAAGTGACCGCAATAATGCTGATATTCATCGATCTTCAGTACAGTTGACTATGGAGTTCGGGGGCCACGTGAAAGTTGATTCTTGAAGATTGAATAACAGGTACGTTTCATTCACTAACTGAGAGGCTCTTGTGTAGAGGGACATAATAATATTCAACGCTGTTGGGGGGGGGGGGGGAATTGCGACCTTTATGAAGTGAAAGTGAAGTCTGTCTACGAATAAATAGAATACCTACAAATGCAAGAGGAAATGTACAAGTTTTGT